TTCAGTACATAGTTTCCTTAAATAATCTGAGTGAACACCCATTAGCAGAGGCAACATTAAAATATGGAAAAGAACAAGATGCTGAACTTTTAAAAGCAGAGAATTTCAATTCTGTTACAGGCAAAGGCGTTGAAGGAAATATAGATGGTAAAAAAGTAAGTATTGGCAACGCTAAGATGATGGAATATGCTAAAGCTATTTTATCATCTGAAAAGGAAAACGAGGCTGCCACATTTCAAAAGCAAGGTAAAACAGTTTCTTACATATCAGTGGATGGAGAAATTGTTGGCTACATTGTAATTGGCGACAAAATAAAGGAAACAAGTGCTAAGGCTATTCAAGAACTGCAAGCTAAAGGAATTGAAGTTATTATGCTTACAGGTGATAACCATGATACAGCTAAAGCGGTTGCTGGATGGAGGGTCCCGATCAGCATTGGCCAACCCTCCAACTTTTTGAACAGAAATTGCGAAAAGGCGATTTTTGTCCGTGGCCGCGTGTTTTAGTCTTCTATCCCAACCCCCAGTTTTCATTTTGATGTAGCCCGTTGGCAAGAGGTTGCCATGGAGGTCCCAGTCGTTTTTTTATTGCAGCCTTCCAGGTGCGGAGGGATGTGCGTGGAGTTTGGCGCAGGGATGGCGGAGGGAAACCAAAGCGAGCCATAGGCGCATGGAAGCCCCTAAGCTGAACACCCCCAAAGGTGAGAGGTGCCCTCCCCGAACCGCTGCCCCGCACCCTGCCTCTTGGTTTGTAGGTGAGAATCGCCGGTTTTGAAATTGGAAGGAACCAAATCCCTAAGAGGAAGCCAGTTGGATGATTCAGTTGGGGGTCACTTCCTCATTTCCCTTTTGAGCACCAACCAGTTTTGGGGAAGTCACCGCCACCAAATCGGAAGACTTGATCCTGGCGCACAAGGCCCTGCCCAGCAAGTGGGTATGTCTTAAAACATGAATTCGACCCCACAAAGTGGCACCCGCAGTGTCCTTCTCGCCCTTTAAGAACGGAACAAGCCCTTTCTTTTGAGTGACGACCAAGCATCTGGGTATGGGTCAAAATTAAGTCACCGGGGACCGCAGGTTTTAGTCTACCTTTACATTTGCCAGAGTTCCATTTTGGGCACCTATTTTCGACCCACAGCCATCTTAAGCCAGGTCAGAAGGAGACTCCCTTTCACCCGCAAAGCTCGCCTTTTTAGTGTTGAGCGGTAGTTAACCACTCAAAGTTAATAACTTTTAGCGGGGGATCTGAGGGCAGCCCAGACAGAGACGCCCAAGATGCGGCGCGAAGTCCAGGCTGCTGGTGAAGATCCAGGCCAAGGCTTCTGCCGCGGAAGTGGAGCGCCAGCGTGACGAGGAAGCGCAAACCGCACCTGGGAGCGTGGTGGTTTCTCAGCCAATGCATGGCTGTGGGTCAAAGATACGGTAACCCAAAATGGGTTGCCCTGGTAAATGGAAACATGGACTAAAACCTAATATTTTTTGGTGGTTTAATTTTGACCCATACCCACATCAGGGATTTGTAGGGGTTTCATCAATCTGTCCACGTCAGAATTCGGTGGGCCCCGGTTCATATCCACCGCTTTGCGTTACCATTAAAGTTCATAGCCATATGGTGGGTGTGTTTTTGTGAAACATGTGCTGGCTGTTTCAAAGGAACACCAAAAGGAAACCACTCACGTTCTGTTCGTTTGGGGGTGGTCCTGAACAAAGGTGTCCCTTTAAATGTCAGCCAGAAAAAGTCCCCCCCACAACCTGCAGGTCGAAGTGAGCCTTTTTGTGCTGCGGGCATGTGTCAAAATAGGGGCTCCCCCCAAAAAAATAAATAAGTCAAACATGGTATTCTGTGTCCCCTTGAATCAACCCGACAAAAAGGGTACCCTCCAAAAATCACACAATCACGCCCATTTCTTGGCCCGTTTGCAACATCCCCAAGCCTTTTCGTTCCTTTTTGTAGGAGACCAGCTGGAGCAACGATCGGCTCCTGGAGGAGGAGAAGACGAGAAACCAAGGCGGATTTTTTGGCGCGAGGATCGGAGAGCTGGAGTTTTTGAAGGGGTTGATTCCCCATTCCTTGACTACTTCTGGGTTGGATCTTTAGACTTTAACTTTTTGGGAAATCAGGGGGTTTTCCACAAAACCCCCAAAAAGTTAAACAGCAACCAAGATTCTTTCCAACCATCGTTCTTTTCGAACACCGGATCCAGGGTGTTGTGTGTTTGTGCTTCTCTGTGTGCGTGTGTGTGTGTGTGTGTTTGTTGGTGTTTGTGTGTGTGTTTTTTTTTGTTTTTTTTTTATGTGTGTTTGTGTGTGTGTGTCAGTGTGTGTGTGTGTGGAGAGTTAACGCGGTAACAGTGCTTGTTTGCTACGACGACTGCTACTACTAGTACTACTACTACTACTACTACTACTACTACTACTACTACTACTACTACTACTACTAGTACGATGATTAGTACTAGCTACTAGCTACTAGCACCAGCAAATAGAACTAGCACCACTACTACTACTACTACTACTGCTACTACTGCTACTGCTGCTACTGCTACTAACTACTACAACAACAACAACAACTACTACTACTACTACTACCACCACTACCTCTTCATTTGTTGATCCTGCATTCCTTTTGTTTCATCCCTCAGCCGTGTGTGTGTGTGTGTGTTTGTGAAAGTGTGTGTGACGTGTGTGTGTGTGTGACGTGTGTGTGTGTGTGTGACGTGTGTGTGTGTGTATGTTTGTGTTTGTGTTTTTGTTTTGTGTTCGTGCTTCTGTTTGTGTTTGTGGGTGTGGTTGTGTGTTTGTTTGTTTGTTTGCTTCCTTGCGTGCTTGCTTGTTTGCTTGTTTGCTTGCTTGCTTGTTTGTTTGTTTGTTTGTTTGTTTGTCTGCTTGTGTGTTTGTTTGTTTGTTTGTTGTGTGTGTGTGTGTTTTTGTATGTGTGTGTGTGATTTTGTTTGTGTGTGTGTGTGTGTTTGTTTTTTAAGTTTGTGTGTGTGCGTGTTTTTTTTTTGTGTGTGTGTGTGTGTTTGTTTGTGTGTTGGTGGGTGTGTGGTGGGTGTTTTTTGTGTGTGTGTGTTTCTTTGTTGTTTCTTTCTCCATTTGTTTGTTCTTTTTTGTTGTGCGTGTGTTTGTGGATGTGTGTGTGTGTTTTTGGATGTGTGTGTTTTTGTTTTGTTTTTGTATGTGTGTGTGTGCGTGTGTGTGTGTGTGTGTGTGTGTGTGTGTGTGCGTGTGTGTGTGTGTGTGCGTTTTTGCCTGTGTGGGTGTGCAGTTGTGTGGGTGTGTGTGTGTGGGTGTGTGTGTATGTGTTTTGTGTGTGTGTGTGTGTTTTTGTGTGTTTGTGTGTTTGTTTGTGTGTTGTGTGTGTGCGTGCTTATACATATGTGTTTGTGTGGTTGTGTGTGTTCGTTCGTGTTCGTGTTCGTGTTCGTGTTCGTGTTCGTGTTCGTGCCTGTGAGCCGTGCTCGTGCTCGTGCTCGTGCCCGTGCTCGTGCTCGTGCTCGTGCCTCGTGCTCGTGTTCTGCTGGTGCTGGTGTTGGTGTTGGTGTTGGTGTTGGTGTTGGTGTTGGTGTTGGTGTTGGTGTTGGTGTTGGTGCTGGTGTTGGTGTTGGTGTTGGTGTTGGTGTTGGTGTGTGTGTGTGTGTGTGTGTGTGTGTGTGTGTGTGTGTGTGTGTGTGTGTGTGTGTGTGTGTGTGTGTGTGTGTGTGTGTGTGTGTGTGTGTGTGTGTGTGTGTGTGTGTGTGTGTGTGTGTGTGTGTGTGTGTGTGTGTGTGTGTGTGTGTGTGTGTGTGTGTGTGTGTGTGTGTGTGTGTGTGTGTGTGTGTGGTTGTGTGTTTGTGTGTTTGTGTGTTTGTGTGTTTGTGTGTTTGTGTGTTTGTGTGTTTGTGTGTTTGCGTGTTTGCGTGTTTGCGTGTTTGCGTGTTTGCGTGTTTGCGTGTTTGCGTGTTTGCGTGTTTGCGTGTTTGCGTGTTTGCGTGTTTGCGTGTTTGCGTGTTTGCGTGTTTGCGCGTTTGCGCGCTTGCGTGCTTGCGTGCTTGCGTGCTTGCGTGCTTGCGTGTTTGCGTGTTTGCGTGTTTGCGTGTTTGCGTGTTTGCGTGTTTGCGTGTTTGCGTGTTTGCGTGTTTGCGTGTTTGCGTGGTTGCGTGTTTGCGTGTTTGCGTGTTTGCGTGTTTGCGTGTTTGCGTGTTTGCGTGTTTGCGTGTTTGCGTGTTTGCGTGTTTGCGTGTTTGCGTGTTTGCGTGTTTGCGTGTTTGCGTGTTTGCGTGTTTGTCTGTTTGTCTGTTTGTCTGTTTGTCTGTTTGTGTGTTTGTCTGTTTGCGTGTTTGTGTGCGGGGTGTGTGCTGTTTGTGTGTGTTTGCATGTCTGAAATCGCAGGGACCTCCTAAAAATGGGTTGTTTCCAGTCGGGTTTCCCTGCAAAAATAGCCTCAAGAAACCCACCTGCGAACTTGTGCTGTTGGCGCGGGTTGCCATCCACAGCTTGCCTGCACTCAGGCAAATTGCGCGTGGGTGCCTATGCATTCTTCGCCACGCTCGTAGGCGCCGTGGCCAGAGCTGGTTTTTACCCCATGGAATGTGAGAAATCCGAAGAAAGGGACCACTCCGAGTTTGAAGCAAATGGATCCCGGCACCGCTTAAATTGACGTGCGTTTCACAAGATTTGGGCCAGGGTCAGAAAATGCTGGCGGGAGAAAAGCTGAATGCGGGTCAAAAAAGAACGCGTGCCCCCAGCCATCTGCGCATTTGGAAGGAAGAGGCCAGGGTTGATCAACTTGCTATAGTTTAGCTGAGCTCAGATTAGTTCTGGCAGATGAAACACTTCACCCACCGGCCGGGTTTTGGCATTGCTTGAAGGCTTTACTGGCTTGCCTCACATTTTGGCCCCTAATCGAATGGTGTGTTTTTCTGGCACCCCCTTTTGGGCAGAAACGAACACGGTTCTCCAACAGGAAACCTTTTGTGGGGTCAATCTCATTTTTAGCCACCCATGTCTCGCCCAGGTGTCATGTCTTGGGCCACCTACATGGATGTTGCCTACGGCGGCCCGGTGCGCGGGAAAGGCTTTTGCTTTCCTGCTGGTATCATGCCCGCCTACAACATCCCGGACACAGAGGGTAACGACGCTCGGATATGTTATCGCCCAGCCAGGCTGTAGGCGTCATACGGACCACAATTAAAACCCGAAGGTGGTAAGGGACAGTCCCAGGCGAAAATATGCGTGGCCGCCCTTTTGATTCTGTACCAGGTTTTTGGTCCCCGTTGGTACCAGCGTTTGATTGCGACTCTTAATAAGATAGTTTGACCTATTGTCGGCCCCTGATTAATACATCTCCTAAGTGGGAATGAGCATCAAAAAGCAATTATTTTGGGGAGCAACAAAATTATGCAGGGGATCAAAAAATATTGAGACCGAGTCTGCTGGTCTGCTGGTCTCCCCGTGTCTCCTGGTCTTGGTCCGCTGGTCCTGGTCCTTGCTCTCCTGCTCTCCTAGTGTCCTGTGTGTCTCCTGGTCCTGGTCTCTGGTCTGCTTCATGCCCTGCTCTCCCTGTGTCTTGTCTCCTGGTCCTTGGTCTCCTGTCTCCTTGGTCTCCTGGTCTCCTGTCTCCTGGTCTCTTGGTCTGTTGGTCTGCTGGTCTCCTGGCCTGCTCTCCTACCAAACTACACCCACCCTAAACCAACCCAAAACCAACCTACAAACCAACCTTGAAACTGACCCTGCGCAACTTTTAAACCGACCCTAAACCCGCCCTAAACCAATCCTAAACCCACCCTAAACCTACCCTAAACCTACCCTAAGCCAACCTAAAACCACCATAAACCCAACCTAAACCTACCCTAAACCAACCTACAGCCACCCACCGTAAACAAACCCTAAACCCACCCTAAACCCACCCTAAACAGACCCTAAACTAAACCTAAACCCACCCTAAACCAATCCTAAGCCAATCCTAGACCAACCTTAAACCAACCTAAGCCAACCCCAAACCCACCCGAAACCCAACCAAAATTATCCTTAAACCAACCTTGAAACCAACCCTACACAACCTTAAGCCAACCCTAAACCCAGCCTAAACCAACCCTAAACCAACCCTAAACCTGCCCTAACCCTACCCTATACTTACCCTAAACCACCGTAAACTTAGCCTAAACCATCCCTTAACCCAACCCTAAACCAACCCTAAGCCAACCCTAAACCACCCCTAAACCACCCCTAAACCCACCCTAAACCCACCCTAAACCCACACTAAACCAAACCCAGCCTAAGCCCACCCGAAAACTACACTAAACAGACCCCCAACCCTAAACCAACCTAAGCCAACCCTAAACCCGCCCTAAACCTGCCCGAAACCTACCCTAATTATCCCTAAGCCAACCCTAAACCAACCTTCAAACCCACCGTAAACCAAGCCTTAGCCCAGCCTAAACCATCCCTAAACCAACCCTAAAGCAACCCTAACCAAACCTCATCCAACCCTAAACCCACCCTAAACCAACCCTACTGACCTTCAACCGACCCTAAGCCCTAAACCACCCTAAGCCTTAAACCCGCAAACCAACCCACCCTAAATCTATTGGAAGTCAACTTAAAACCACCCTAAACCAAACCTAAACCTACTCTAAACCAACCTAAATCCACCCACCGTAAACAAACCCTAAACCGTCCCTAAACCAAGCCTGAACCCACCCTAAACCCACCCTAAACAGACCCTAAACTAAACCTAAACCCACCCTAAACCAATCCTAAACCAACCTTAAACCAACCTAAGCCAATCCCAAACCCACCCGAAACCCAACCAAAATTAACCTTAAACCAACCTTGAAACCAACCCTACACAACCTTAAGCCAACCCTAAACCCAGCCTAAACCAACCCTAAACCTGCCCTAACCCTACCCTATACTTACCCTAAACCACCGTAAACTTAGCCTAAACCATCCCTTAACCCAACCCTAAACCAACCCTAAGCCAACCCTAAACCACCCCTAAACCCACCCTAAACCCACCCTAAACCCACACTAAACCAAACCCAGCCTAAGCCCACCCGAAAACTACAAACATACCCCCAACCCTAAACCAACCTTAAACCCGCAAACCAACCCACCCTAAATCTATTCGAGCTCAACCTAAAACCACCCTAAACCCAACCTAAACCTACTCTAAACCAACCTAAATCCACCCACCGTAAACAAACCCTAAACCGTCCCTAAACCAAGCCTGAACCCACCCTAAACCCACCCTAAACAGACCCTAATCCAAACCTACACCCACCCTAAACCAATCCTAAGCCAACCCTAAACCAACCTAAACCAACCCAAACCCACCTACACAACCTTAAGCCAACCCTACAGGCATTTAACCGATGCTAGATTCGTTGGTAGAACTGCGCTTGCATCTGAAAAGTTGTGATTTTCGAACTGGAGCTGCCAAAGTGACCTTCGCGTACTGCGCTTGTGTTGGAAAGTGTCTATTTTTCAGCTGGAGCCGTAAAACGCGCGCGCTGTTGCCCGAAAATGATGTAAATTACAGCGTTTTGGCACCCCCAGGCGAGATAATTTGTTTTTGGTCCTGTAAATAATTTGTGTTTGATCCGGGTGTCGACAATTTCTTTTTGATCCCGTAAATACGTTTTTTTTGATCTTGCACCCTCCTAAGTGTCATGTGGGACTTTTCGGAGCACTCTTGGAGCCATGAGTGATGCCCCTGAAATCTAAATACCAGCATGTGGCATTCATATTTCTATATGCCGGCACTTAGATCCTGGATCCCAGACTCAACATCTAAGATTGCTGGGGGATTTTTGGGAGCAATCTTGGATCCATACCAGCATGTAGACTAAATACCGGATCCATGTTCTCTCTTCGCGGGGGACTTTTGGGAGCAATTTTGGATCTTGGATGCAGGATCTAAATACCGGTATTTTGAAGTCTAAATGCAGTAGTTTGATTTCGGGGGGGGGGTTCATGCATCCAAGATTTTCCCCAAAAGTCCGGCCTACATGCCGGCAATTAGAAAAAATAACAATACCGCATTTAGATTTTAGATGGGACAGTCCCCCAGAAATCCTGGATCTTGGAATTAAGTACGGCTTTGAAAAGTTGAGATTCAGCAGTGGGCAAGTAGGCAAACTTGTTTCACACTCATTATGTGCAAGTTGCAATCTTGAGTATCCTTCGCTCTCTGGAGTCGGGATTTTGCAAACTCTTTCCTGGGCATTCTTGAATCAAGGAAGATACTTTCTCTTTCTGGTACAGAGATGCACAATTTCCTTTGTTGGTCTGGTTTCTGTAATTTCCCGGGGTTTGGCGTGTCTGCATCTTGCTTGAAACGCTTGTTTGCTTTTATTGTTGCCATGGAAGTGCATTCTGTCCAAAGACCAGAGAAACAGGGCGTTGTTCACTTTAGTCTTACACTGAATCTATGGTCTTGTTTCTGGAGTCAAGACTTGGGAGGAAGCTTTTCCGGGAAATTGTGAATCTGGAATCCAGGAAAAAACATGCTTATCCAATCGCGCAAGAGGTTTCAAAGTTGTCTCGTTTTTGCTGAGAAACTTGCTCAGAGAAGCTTGCGCGAAGACATCGCACACAAGGACTGAGAACCTGTGCAACAAAATTGCGCAGCTATCTTGCTGTGCGGACATAATCTGGCCTACAACAGAATAAACTATGTTCTCTGCCCACCTGCCTTCTGTTTTTTTGCTGCAGGTGCCAAATGTTCTTTTTGTTGTTCCAGCGGGCCTATAATTGCGCGGGGCTTCTACAATGTCTACCGTTTGAAACACTTTGCTTGCAATGTTTGTTTCCTTGGAATTGTGCAATTTCAATTGCCCTCTGTCCACAAATGGAGGAAATGCACTCATACCTCACTGGTAGCACAGAGCACATGATGAACTGCAATCCTACGTATCTCTGCTTAAGTCTGCTGCACAAATAGTTTAAGCACTACAGCTTGTCTACTCAAGCAAGCAAAACGGTGGCACCTGCTGCACAAATAGGCTAAACTCTACATCCTGCGTGCTCAGGGGGGCACCGAGGGAGGGTGTGGCATATTCGCAATTATAAGGAATACATTCATATATGTAGTTATTTATACATATATAAAAGCGTCTATCCTTGTCTATAGATACATGTATATGTGCAGCTGTATACATAGTTGGTGTGTAGAGTCACGGTGTGCATTGAAGACCATGAAGCCACTCAGGCTCGGCTGCCCTGCAACTGCGCCCCTCTGTACAAGTGGTACCTGGAGCCGTTGATGAGCGCGCAGCAGATTGAGTCCATGTGCCACGGTCCGAAGGTCCACGGGCCCACGGGCGGGTTAAAGGGAAGCGGCCGGATATTTGTGAGCCCCTGAACCCTAAACCCTAAACCCTAAACCCTAAACCCTAAACCCTAAACCCTAAACCCTAAACCCTAAACCCTAAACCCTAAACCTTTCGTCTGGAAATGGGGTGTGTAAGGAAACTGCCCATAAACCGCCCATTTGCGGGGCTCCGCTATTTTGAGACACACCCAAATCAGTCAGGGGCCTGCCAAGGGAGCCTGGCAGAAGTCCATCCCCCAAGTCGGTGTCACCTGAATTCGATGTGTCCGAAAGACGGACATTGGGACATTCCGTTGGGTGGTTTTTTCCGGATCGTTCAACAGATTTTGAGAATTTGAAGGCAACCCAACTATTTGAGGGTGGCATTTGGGGGTTGGTTGAAACGGAAACCAAAACCGAAGCCCGTGGTTTTTGAGACACACCAAGCCCAGCTGAGTCGATTCCGGGCCTGTCAAAATCCTTTTTGCTTGGTGCGGGACCTACTTCAAAGTGGAACAAACCGGAACAAGGGTTGCAACATGTTGCAACAATTTCTACCAGGCTAGTCAGGCAGCTGGTGTTGGGCTTCGGTGGGGCTCCCGGCCATGTGGACAAAGCTATGTTACAACTTTTGCATTTAAGCTTGCTTAGTTTTTGGAAGATTGGTGCCACAACCAGGTTGGCGCAGCTGGCTTTTGGTGATTATTTTGGTTGCCGCTATGCACATGGATGTCCGCCTTGGTCTAAGTGAGGTCCCTTGAGGCCAACATCAAGTGCGTTAAAGGGCCCGGTCTTTCATATTTGCCTCACGTGGGAGAGGGGGATAGCCAGATCTTCCAATCTCCGACTTTGGTGGGTTCATCTCGGATCAAGATTAAAGAACAAATCCTCCAATGTCAGCCCGCTTTATTCCCCCCCCTGTCCTTCAGCAAAGACATGGTCAGAACTGAGAACTACAGTGGATGGACAAAACCCTTCACCACCTCATGAAACCCTGGTTTCTGATTATCCCCCTGTAAATCCCGACAAACCATGGTTTCAACGTGTCATTTCGTGGCCTCGACGTGTTTTTGTTTGCGGGCGCACGGGTTATTTTTTTCAGCCCCAGAACCGGCGCCCAGGAAGGATGCGGCGCCCAAAGTCGAGAGCAAGAACTGCGGCCGGGAGCTGGGGGGCAAGAAGAAGCAATGCGATCCCAGGCCTAGAGTCGACCGCTTCACAAGGGCTTGGCCTTTGAAGGGTTTGCTGGATGGAGATTTCTTTTTGCCGTGCAAGGGAGGACCTCACCAAGTCAAGGGTGAAAGCATGCTGGTGTTTTTGGTCGGTGTTCAACATGTTTTCTTCTTTGGTTTCTATGATCCAGTTGTCTACCCTGCCAGGGCCAGCTGGGGATCTTCAGAGCCATACGCGCTAGGACGGTCGGGGGCTGCGTGTGGACGGCGGAAGACTTGGAGAAGGACCCAAGCGTCTGGGAGCAGCGGCGTCAGATGTACTGGGAGACACAAAGGCCGGCGCAAAAAAATCGCGCGCGTGCATCGTTGGACATGTTGGTGTTTTGCGCGGTTGCTCTATTTTTTCCGCGCCGGGAGAGGGCGTTTGGCAGGTGCATCTGCAAACTCAGACAGAAGCAAAGGGCGCGGTAAACGGGGCCTAACTAAGAAAAGACCGTTGAGCAGTTGGGCTACGCCCCGGTGGGAAAGGGAAGGCACATAGATGCCTTCAGCGGGGAGGAGGGCAGCATTTTTGAGCGGGTCAGAGGCTCACTTTGAACATGTCACTGGTCACCAGGGTTGTGGGATCACTCGGGGTTTATCCCCACTGTGGTACAAGGGAATCCTTGGTATGGGGGTTTAACCTTTGGGAGCCCTTTCTGTCGCAATCACAGAAGTGGTCATTGCCCACAGCTCTGCTGGTCGAATGCCATTTCTCCCAAAAGGGACCCCATGATTCATGTCCCATCGGGATTCTTGGTAACCAGACCCAGCGACTCCATTTGACTGTGTTGCGAGCCAAAAGAAACCACCCTTTAAGAGCCAAAGGGAAAATGGTTGGTGACCTACTACAAAGGTAGCTGGGATCCACTGCAATAAAAATAATGATTTTTCTTGTCCAAAAGGAGCATGGAGCGAAACATGAAGTTCCCTGTCACGACAGAAAGATGACCGCAGACCAAGACCAGGAAATCCTTACCACTTGCAATATTTGGGTGTGAAATCGAACCATGCTCACCTTTGAAGTCAAGATCCTGCCCTAAAGTTTAGGCGAACCCCGGCAAGGTCGTTTGTATCACGCATGCGCCCATTGGCCCGACTTCGTCCCTGGCAGGTACACGCAGTGATGTCCGCTTCGGAGCCCGCAGGACCAATGCTAGTTCCCCCTAAGATTTCAGAGTTTGGGGATTCCTTTCATTCATATTATTGGTCCTAATTGAAAATTACTCTATGGTCCTACGGATTGATTGAAAGTAAGTATTCCTGTAAACCGATTGTCGCTTCAGCCCTGCGTGTTCCCATAGCCGGACTCTGCATGCATCTTGGAAGCTGTCTTGAGCGCAAGGTTGAGTATATAATCCCGGCTCCGTGTCTCCGTGTCGCTGTGTTGATTGTTTTGAGGTGCCGCCTTTTGGGTCGTTTTGGAGTGGTGTCAAAGGGAAAACCAAGAGGGAAATAAGGAATTCAATCACGATGCTGGACAGCAACAGCCCGGCTGACAATCTAGAGAAGCCCATGTTCTGTAGAAGAACTGTCAACAGTAAGCTTGATATGTGTTGTGCTGATACTTCTAGTCTTGAAGACTTGAAACCTTTAAGCTAATTGAGGCTTCATATGCACAATTTAACATGTCACACGATCATGTGACCATATTCTACACAAGGATCACCCTTCAGGCTGGTGCTATCGAAGGTAAGCCAAACATGTAAAGCTTCTCTCACGAATGCGAACATCCGCACATGCATTGGCGCTTTGAGACTGACTGAGGATAAGACAAGGCCAAAGAATGCGGTCGAACACCGTGGAGGCATCACAAACTCACGAAGTGCTCTCGGGGATATCTTATTCCCGGCTTGTGAATCATTGGAATCCCCCTTTGGTAATCTTCGTGATCGTGGCGAGTGAATAAAACTGGCTTTTGACACCCAGCCCGGGTCAAAGTCTTGCTTTTGCGGTTCAGCCAAGAACCGTGTTCGATCTTTAGGGGAAAGCTAAACTAGAGCCAGCAAGATGAGCTACATTCAAGGCTTTGGCTCAGTGGATGTTACCCGAGATACTGAAGCAGAACTCTCGACGCATGTGCCGTGCTTGCGGCACCTGTTCGCATCACCAGATATCACCAGCAGCGGAGCGAGCGGTGATATCCGGCGCACCGGACAGCGCAGAGGAAAAGATGAAAGATGAAGACCAGAGCAGAAGCTTTTTGCTGTGAACCCCAGTGGGCCAAGAAGAGGGCTAGCCAAATGGTTATAGTATCCTAACCAGAAGGTCTTAGGGGCGAACTGGGGCCTATTTGGTGGTTTCTAAACGCTTCGCTAACTCCCAACCCCTCTGCGCAAGTGTATCTGCAAATCAGACACATTTGGACCCCTTGATACGGTCATACTTAGTTAGCACAACTCCGCTCCTAAGTCCAACAGTGTCCAACTTGCAAAGAAGCATCTGCACCAATCTGCAGTGCAGCGAGCAGACCCCAAAGTCGGCCAGAAGCTCTTCCTTTGGTCTTTGCTGGAGCAGACTTTTGAGAATATGTCTCTGTCTCAAAATGGGGCACCCAAACAATAGGGGGGTTCCCCTTTGTCTTCCCTTCCAAACAAACACAAAAAGGGCGCCCTCAAAAAGATGCGCCCATACTACCAGGTCGTCAAGTGCGAACCAGCCGTTTTGACCTTTGATTTTCGTTGTCAGGTTGAAAAAGAAGCATATTACCCAAGAATCTCCAGCGCGGGTCTTCCCAATTGTCGCAAAGCGCACAAACCTAGAACAGATAGCCAAATTGACTACATGTTGCAAGCGGAGATGAAGGCGAATCTCGAGTTTGCCATGTGTGACTACTTGCAGCATCCTATCTAGGGTGTTCAAAAGGAATGCTTTTGTATTGAATGTTCAGTTTCAGAAGATCGCCGTTCGATTCTTGTTTTTGCAGAGCACTGGGGCAGCCGTTGCGACAAAGAAAGCGCGAAGCCGGAACTACCAAACCCAGTGGGAAGACAAATGTCACTCGAAAGGCCACAATGTGACTCATTCGAGAAAAATGGGGGACGCCCCCCAAAACCACCCCCCCCCCCCCACACACCAAAAAACAAAGACAAAGGCAAATCTGGTTTTCCTCTTCAGGATCCCTTTCAATCCAACCCACGAAGGGGCTCCGTTAAACCGATCGCACAACGCATTTGCAGCATCAGTGATGGTTCCTCAATGATTCATCCTCGTCGATGATGCCACACCTAAATGATGTGATCCTTGAGTTTGAGAGAACCAAGATAGGGCCCTGATACCGCTTCCGCGTCAGATATTCTCGGCTCTGCATTACTCACAAGAGCAATGGTATCCCGGCTCTTTCCATTCCAAACCCCAGAACACACCTTTTGTGTAGAGGACAGTCCTTTGGAGGGCTTGTGGGTTCCTTCTATTGACATCCAAAGTGTGTTCGCCCACACCATCAAATGAACTCTTCCAGGGCGTGACCTAAAACGAGTTCTGGCCTGAAAAGGACACAAAGTCCTTTTCCGTTTTCGGCACATCTACTTGTTTCAGGAGCACACTTTTGGGACATTGCTGTAACACGAGGTGATTGACTTGAAATCGCCAGCCTCAAACGAAAAACCAAATGTTGCCCTAGAAAGGAGCCGTCGTGGCTTTTCGGTTACACCCCTGCGGTCCTGGGGCTGCTATGATTTGCCCAAACTACCGTTGGTGCACAAAAGCCTACACCAATTGGTAGGCGGCTTATGTTTCATCCATCCAAAAGATGATGCAACGTGGTTGTTGTCCATCCAGGCAACACCTGTCTTCAGCGTTCGTTGCCCTAAAGGCTTCCAAAGGCTGAGGGTTGTCTTCAAGCACCAAAAAGAGCATGTCCATAATTGGTATCAAGACGAACAAAATGATAAGAAATGAGTGGCCATTCAGGGAAACGTCTCGCCTTCGACCGGATGAAGAGAACATAGAACAAATTATCACTTGTTGAAAGCCGACGATTGAAAATGTATCTTTTATTTGGTCGCCTTGTTGGCTCCACTAAACCTACCCGCTAGGCTGATGGGGCCCCGAACCCAATCTTCGGGGGCCAAGCACTCCTTCCATTGTACCACAACGTGCAGGCCGGCACCTGTGATGAAGAGAGAGCCGGTGGCCAAAGCGACTCCTGCTCAGGCGACGGGGGGACGGTTTGAGGCTGGCCTTGCGTCAAAGCCACTTAAAACCCGCAGAATGTTCCCACAACTGCAGCTGCAGGCACTCCCAATTTGTGCATGTTGTGAGACACTCAAAATCCCGATTGCATGGAGCTAAGAAGCCCTCACCAAAATGCACAGTGGTTTTTGGGTTTGACCAACTACGCCTTACTTTGCCGAGGGCTGGGAATGCAATGCCATGCAAGCTCTACGGAAACTTGGACTTTTTTTGGCGGCAAGAGGCCACCCTGGTGCGCGCGAGGTGGGAGTTCGACATGAAGCGGTGGACAGCGGGGTGTCACTCATATATTATGTGCACGCATTGCAATCAGTATGCGGTTCTGGTTGTGGTTATTCTTGTTCTTGTTATTGTTATTGTTATTGTGTTTGTTGTTGTGGTGGTTGTTGTTGTTGTTGCTGCTGCTGTTACTGCTGTTGCTGTTGCTGTTTCTGTTGTTCTTGTTGTGGTTGTAGTTGTGCTTGGCGTGTGTTGTTTGTTGTTTGTTGGTTGTTGGTTGTTGGTTGTTTGTTGTTGCTGCAGCTGCCGCTGCTGTTGCAGTTGCTGCTGCTGCTGCTGCTGCTGCAGTTGCAGTTGCCTGGTGCTGCTGTTGCTGTTGCTCTTGCTGTTACTGTCGCTGTCGCTGTCGCTGTTGCTGTTGCTGTTTTCGTTGCTGATGTTGCTGTTGTTGCTGCTATTGCTGCTGTTGTTATTGTTATTATTATTGATATTGCTCTTGTTCAGCTTGTTCGTCTTGTTATTATTGTTCTTGTTATGTTGTTAGTGTGCTTGTTTGTCTAGTGTTTATTGTTCTTCTTCGGAGTTGTTGTTGTTGTTGTTGTTGTTGTTGTTGTTGTTGTTGTTGTTGTTGTTGTTGTTGTTGCTGTTGTTGCTGTTGCTGTTGCTGTTGCTGTTGCTGTGGCTGTCGGTGTTGCTGTCGCTGTTGCTGTTGCTGTTGCCGGTGCTTATGTTGCTGTTGCTGTTGCTGTTGTTGTTGCTGTTGCAGTTGCTGTTGCTGTTGCTGTTGCTGTTGCTGTTGTTGTTGTTGTTGTTGTTGTTGCTGTTGCTGTTGCTGTTGCTGTTGCTGTTGCTGTTGCTGTTGCTGTTGCTGTTGCTGTTGATGTTGTTGTTGCTGTTGCTGTTGCTGTTGCTGTTGCTGTTGCTGTTGTTGTTGTTGTTGTTGTTGTTGTTGTTGTTGTTGTTGTTGTTGTTGTTGTTCTTCTTGTTCTTCTTGTTATTGTTGTTCTTGTTGTTCTTGT